TTGAGACATTCTACTCAACAACAATTCAGCATTTTTTTTATAGCGGACATTTACATTATTAACAACTTCACAAAATACAGCGTCTGAAACATCAGAGACTCCAGCATTATGAGGATGTGCTACAGGGGGGTTTGGTACGGAGGATTCTCCAGGAGGTAAGAAAAGTGTCAAGCCCAACTTTTCGCTTTCACTCTGTTTAGTACGTACCAAGTATTTCTGCAATATAGTGGTATACCTCTTTATCTTCTCATCATCCGATACACCTCTATTTTGAAGAATAGAAATAATCTCATTATCTAGGTTTTGAGTGACAGACTCACGAGCGGTCTCAGAGCTCTGAGTGGTTCGCTGTATTAGGTCTAACTCTTGTTTAGACACTAAGTACTTTTTCTCAGCGTGTGCCATTAACGGTTAGTCAAAAGACCGGTCAGCAGAGGTATAGCAAATCCCAACAGAGAGCCAATAAATCCTCCAGACTGTTTAACCAACTGTTTCTTCTTACTAAAAGACACTTTTTTGTTGCTCAGTGCTTTTATATTTTTTCGCCACTTTTTTAGCTTTTCTACTTGTTGTGATAAAGGTATCTTACCTTTAAGGGTATTAAGAGCTATTTCACATATAGCCGTGACTAAATCATGAGATGCGGAGCATAAAATATCTTTTTTTTGTGATGGCGATGCACTTATTAGACTTTGTAAAGCCAACCAATTGCGACGTATACGCATAGACATCCTTAAGGATCTGAGATTCGGCAGGGAATGACCTGTTAATGGTATGTTATCGACTTTTAGAGGGCTGTTTGTTATAAATATATGCAGAGGGAAGGTCGGGTGGGAAGAGACCGGTTCTTAAGCGGTACTCTTCGAGGGTTACAGATCTTAAATCTACAAGTAGATAACCATAAGATTTGCGTGTGGCATCTTCAAAAGCGTCTAGAAAAAATTGTGATTTACCGGGGTACATTTGGCGGGCCAGAGTAGTGATTTGCAGTTTATCTCTTGGGTTCTTAAAAAGTACCATATATTTAGTGTTTAAAGCTATAGTACGACTTTTTTTACCTTGACAGAACACATTCTGCACCAGATACATAATACTCAGATTTCAGTGATGCACATACTTGGTGAATGCTTTCTCAATTTCTGAACTCTCACTAGCAGCCTCCATTAAGTCATCAACAATAGTTAAATTTACTCTGTTAGGGGGGAACAAATTATCATCATTAAATGTTGTGGGTAAACCCTCTATAAAACGAATATTTGGGATTGTGAGTAATAATTCATCATAAAGCACTTGCCAGCAGGCATAAAACCAAACAATGTTATCAGGAGTGTGCGACATTAAAGCGGTAGCATTCTGTAAAACCTGTTTGACAAAATAACTTTTCCCGGAATTAGAAGGGCCTGCCAATATGCATGAAAAAGGATGTTGTAAACGAGTGTCCATGGTGAATGATTAGTAACCAAATGGGAGAGTGGTAAAGTCGTCGACCAAATATCTTTTTGTATATACACACTTCTGTGTTTTCTGTAGCGGTCGCGTCTCTATTTGCCAAAGGAGTTTATTTCTGACAATGGAGGACTGTCGTACCACTATTCTTTTCTGTTCATCAGGGTCTGAGTGCAAGGGGTAGTCCAACACCAGGTCTTTTAAACTGTCAAAGTTAATCAACTGGGCATTACTGGCATGAAGTGTTATGCCTTTCACCTTTAGAGATGTTTTATCCGTCGATAGTTTGTAACCATACGTCTTGGGACCTGCAGATACAAACTCTGTAATGTGTGTGTCACAGGGTATTTCACTAGTCAGCTCACCTAGATAGTCCCCTAGAGGTGGATTCCAGTCACCCGCTGTACTAACAAAAATAACAGAGTCAGTGTCGTGGTAGAGACATCTCTCATTAAGACGGTCTAAAACATTGTACAGTTCAAGTCGTGCATAGGCGGTGGTAAAACATGCAATAAATATATTGGTATTGCGAGACGGACTGTGACAACCCTGGGCGTGCTTCCAACTGAGCATGGCTGTATCATCATTTATGAATGACAGAGAAGACACCTCGTATTCAGGTAAAAATATATAACCAAAAAGCTTGTCAGGATCAGATACAAGACTTGTGGTTTGCAAATTAGGTTTCTGACCAAATTTGCCCCATAAAGAATTAAGAAACAATTTTGCAATCTGTCGTTTTGCAGGGTTTACTTCTATTTTCTCTGGTCTTAGCAAAATACCCTCTTTAGCGTAATAAGCATCAATGTATTGGCGTCTTTTTTCATCAGTCGTACACCATTCAGGGTAACCTGAGGATTCCTGCTTATCCCTAAGGTGCACCTTTATATACTTTTCAAATAACGTATTGGAAGAGTAAGGAAAGTGCCAAATCTCAAAGATCTTCCCCAACCTGTAGCCCTTAATCAGGGCTTGTTGTATTTCAATAGTGCACCAAGTACCTGTCAAAGAGCGTTCCTCCTCATTATGTTCACAATGTGCTGTTTGGTTATTGGCTGTGCATGTACGACATAATGGGAACATAAGTTTGCCATTCATTTTAACCGGTAGAACAGGGAAAAATAGACCTCGGGGTGGGTACACTGTTACTTTAGCAAGGCCAAAATAGTGTTCAAAAGACTGAAAATTATCATAAATGATTACTGGGTGATCCGTGGGATATAATTTTGTTTTGTTGACGTATGGGTATAGACTGATAAAATCATAATAGTGTATGCTCTCACCTGGGGCCGCTTTGTGGTACAATTTGATTGCGTTTGTGCGGCCCCCATAAAGCGCATCACGAGGTTCCAGCGGCTGTGGAAAATCTTTATCGATAAGAAAAGCCTGTAGATCCTTGTCAGTTTCTAACAGGTTTGACCAATCATGCTCCCACATCTCACGGACCACATAACCCCGCATTTTTAGAAAATGATTTTTAACATTGGTTTTGTGGTGTAATTGTGCATAGGTAGTCTTTGTAACTGTGTTAAAAGCCTTTTCATTATAACAAACTGGGCAACCGTGGTAGAAACAACCCTGAAATTCAAAAGCTGTAGGCTGGCCATCAATCAGAGCGTACCCATCCAAAAAATAGTTACCAACAGCCCTTTCACCGCCCTGTAGAGCGTGCTGAATAGTGATCCCCTCTTTGTGTGCAACATACATTAACCACTGTATAGACTTTGTTGAGAAACGTTTCTGATTTGCATGGTAATTGTCAGAGGGTAAAATTGCTATGGTATTTTTCGGTAAAAACTTAAATCTGTACATGGCCATGCACACAGACGCTAATGTAGTGAGTTGAAAAGGATCAATATCAGCAATGACGGTTTCAGGACCGTCAGGACCCACAATAGTTTTTACCTTCTTGGTCATCTCCATCACACTTTCTCTGTAGCAGACACAGGCCTGTTTCAAGATTTTAACATCATCTATACAGTATTTCTTAAGTTCATTTTGAAAATTGAACTGACAATGTTGGTTCTCTTGATACCAGACCATAAACTCCTTTTTATCATCACACATCATTTGGTCATAACCATAATAGTCTACCAAAGGCATAGGGCCAATATAAGACTGATTCTGGGCTGTGTTAAAAAAGTGTGGAAAATAGCCTTTACAACCGACGAAACCCAGGGCCTTTGGCAATTGACTTAGTTTCATGGGGAGAAAATTTAAAGAATCGATAAATCTGATACCTAGATCAGCGACAGTCACACAAAGTAATTTACCACCTTGCGCCAACAACTCAATAGCAATTTTCTCCTTAAGAAGTTGATTCACCACAAAGTAAGAATCATACCTGCCTGCATTATGCGCTATGAATGTGTAGTTACTAAAGGGCTTGTTTATAAATCTTATTATAAACTCCTCTAGGCACGCTGTACCCTGAAACTCCCAGCACTTATCCCCTTCTAATTCTGAAGCATAGATATAGTTGGGGATATGTACACCGGTCTCCTGCATACATTCAAAGTCATAAAAAATGTATTTGTTAGTAGGGTTTTCTGGGGTGTATCTTCTCATATAACAAACATGGCCATCAAGCGTGACTACAGTGGCATAGCAAAGGCATTTGCGGGGCTTGTCTGTGTATGAATATATGTGTTATGCTGGATTTATATGTTGTAGATATGTGTTATGCTGTGCTTATCCGTGTAAGTTATAGCATAACATTTTTAAAATAAGCTGTGATGATACAGCATCAATGGGGTTGCTTTATTTCTAACTGTCAGGGTCGGTAGTATAGACTGTGTGCCGTATGTTTTGGTTTTTATTTTTAACAACGTAAGGGTCTATTATATAGAGTCTGCATTGTTTGTTTCTGTGTGTCTGTGTTCTAAAACGTTACGTGCTGAACATAGTCATGTTTTTAATGTATGCAAACTTCTTCTCTATGCATTTGTGGGTCTTATCCGTGTATGTTGTTTAATATATGTGTTATGCTGGGCTTATATATGTTGTATATATGCGTTATGCTGAGCTTATCCTCGCATGTTATGGCATTACCTTTTTAAAATAAGCTGTGATGCTACAGCATCACCCATATCACTGTGGCTGTTAGACATCTCACTGTGTCTGTTTTGTCAAACAACCGATTGTGGTCATTCATTGTAAAATGCTGACCTAGTGTTCCCTTCATAAGCGTTCAAATACTTTATCACCTTTCAGGCACAAATCAGTCCAACAACGAATGAAAACGAGTTACACAGAAGGCTCGCGGTCGCCTCACAAGGTTGTAAATTTTCTATATTGATAAGCGTTCTAAAATTCTAAACATTTATTTTGAAGTCTTTTATGCATAAAAAACAAAACAAAAAAACCCCAAAAAAACTAAGGCTTATTGTATTTTATTTATTTAGATCCTTTGAATACTAGAGTATTGACTGACAGACCCTCCAACATACATCCACATAGACCATTAAAAGCAGGTATGTGTTTATATAACGTTATATGCGGTTGTATCATCCCCGGTTTTATCCCTGCGATAATTATATTTCTATTTATTTTAGAAACAACCGTAAAGAGTACAAAAACCTCAGCAGTATCTAATGCATGCACAGACATTAGCCGCTTACCAGCTGCGGATCACGGTCGTAAGACATACAGCGCGAATGCCGGAGAACGCAGGGACTGCACCCCGCATAAACTAAAACAGGGCAAGTATACGTATGAGTTCTTTGTTTATTTGTATATTTGTATACTACATAAATATAGTATATTTATTTGTATCTTTATTTACTACATAGATATACCTGTATGTACATCAGTGCATTAATTTACTCATTTATTTTTGAATACAGTACCAAAGTTGTCTATAACCCGGATCTGCTCTACAAGAGATATTCCAGTCACACGTGACGATGAACAACCGTCAACGTCGACCTCAGGGGTTTTAAGGCAGCGTCCATCTAGTGCGGCATGCGTCGCAAAGGAGCCTCAACAAATACATTCATTAACCACAACAAAACACACATCTCGGGGTAAGCCATCAGTCACATCACCAGGCAATGTATCAGGGTGTCGACATTTCACTGTAGAATCAAATGTACCTGTGAAACAATCCATTAGCCCTGTAAATGTTCCTATACAACCAAACCCTAAGAAAAGTAGATCTGTTTTACAGGACATAACACAAACCATCGGCAATGATAACAATATACATAGAGGGACTACATCACTGACATCCAGAAATACCTCTGTAAAGGTGCCGACACACCCGCCACCTAAGAAAAGTAGATATGTTTTACAGACCATAACACATACTGACAGCAAAAACACACACATTTATACAGAGACCACATCACCTCTTGATACTAGAAAATGTATGTTGTGGTTCACGCGTTCTGCTCCTTTATGGTTTAAAGTCAAGGATGCTGTACAACATACAATCACTGAAATATTCAAAATACTGAATGACGCTGCTCTTTTACAGTGCAGCAGGCCTCTGAGTCTAAAACTTTATGCCGCTAGCCGCCCATTTAGAATTGGCCATGCATTGTTATCCCATGATGGTCGTGATAGTCAATTGAGTATAAACGGTGTTATACCAAACATTATATTACCCCGTGACAACGTCAGTGATTTATTACAGTGGTTTTTAAGGGAACTTGGTTTTTGGTTCGCTTTAGGAGACTTTATTGACTCTGTGATTAGTGAGATCCGTAACATTGTTATTGTGACTGATGATGAGCTTAGACAAACTAATTTTTTAAACCGTTTTGAAAGACTTGACCGTGCTACCAATGCCTTTCGTTCAGGACTAAATTTACTGACCCCCGCGTGACTAGTCATGGTTGGACGGGGTTTATTATCTCAATCCAAAAAATGGGACAGACAGAGACTTGTAGCTAAGCGTCGAGCTAGAACCGTTAAACGTGCCATAAATACATTGCGAGGTGCATTACGTTCTGCGATGTCTAGGCAACGCCGTAAGACCCCTTGTGATGCAATCAAATGCTTAACACCTGTGCTGCTTCCGGCTGAGGATGGCGTAGACGCTACAGTTACCCCTGTGACACCCCACACAAATGATACTGAAATAGCCCCAACACCTACAGAACTTTCCACAGAGACGCAACAAAGTCCATTTAGTCCTGAGAATATTAACGATTCGCAGGAACATCCCGAAGTGCAGAACCCTGTTAATGAGTTAGAGGCCCCTGTATTTTTGGAGCGTGTTGAACAACGCCGCAGAGATATTAACAATTTTAATGCCGTAGAATATTATGAACATTTTCGGTTTGTAAATTTAGACAGAATAACATCGTTTTCAGACGCACTCCAGTCTGTACATGATGCTATTCAAGAGCTTTTAAACAGGATGATGCCTGATATAGGTCCCAGCGATTTTGTTCAATTAAGGCTAGATAGCGATGATCTTGGCAGACCGTTACACTCTATTAGACGTTGTAGGGATGAATTGAATGCTGAAACCTTTTTAAACGCAGTGTCAAACCTGGTACAGAGCAATGCTGAAATTATTGGCAGCGGGTCTTTAAGGTTGGTTGTAATCATTGTTAGGAATAGAGTCGGTGGTGTAATGCATCGTAGGCGTCTCCGGTCAACACCCTATAGTTGTATCATTGCCAGGAAAAAGAGATGGCTTTATGATTTAAACAATGATAATAATAACCTGTGTCTAGCGGCTAGCATTTGTGCCCTTGTGGCTCAGGATAATCCTGTAGACTCTCTGTTGTTGGAGAGAGCCAGAGAAATACATAAAGCTGTAGGTATCCCTGATGATCGTCTGGTTAGTTTTAGCGACATCCCAGCTTTTGAACAACATTTAGGCATTACAATTAAAGTACTGTATCACAATCATGGTTCGTGGCACTATTTTCATTCAGACAAGCCCTGTAAAGATAAAGTTGTGTTTATATACCATGAAGACAAACATTATTATGGCATTAAAAAAATTAATGCGTTCATTGGGGAATCATACTTCTGTAATTACTGTCACACACCATTCTCTCACAAAAACAATCATTCCTGCCGGTATTTTTGTAAGACCTGTCACAGACAGACCTGTGTAGAAGTGAAAGGGGAGTTTCCTAGATGTTCCAGTTGTCGTACTTTTTGTCGTTCACAAGAGTGCTTAAAGTTGCACATAGAGCTCTCCGTATCCGGAGACATAGAGTGCAGGCAGAAAGCTTATTGTGATTCTTGCGGCCGTTACACCGTAATGGCCGATCATAAGTGTAAAGGTTTCCAATGTCAGATTTGCTATGCCACTGTAGTCACGCTTGATGGCCATGTTTGTTATATGAGAAGATACACCCCAGAAAACCCTACTAACAAATACATTTTTTTATGACTTTGAATGTATGCAGGAGACCGGTGTACATATCCCCAACTATATCTATGCTTCAGAATTAGAAGGGGATAAGTGCTGGGAGTTTCAGGGTACAGCGTGCCTAGAGGAGTTTATAATAAGATTTATAAACAAGCCCTTTAGTAACTACACATTTATAGCTCATAATGCAGGCAGGTATGATTCTTACTTTGTGGTGAATCAACTTCTTAAGGAGAAAATTGCTATTGAGTTGTTGGCGCAAGGTGGTAAATTACTTTGTGTGACTGTCGCTGATCTAGGTATCAGATTTATCGATTCTTTAAATTTTCTCCCCATGAAACTAAGTCAATTGCCAAAGGCCCTGGGTTTCGTCGGTTGTAAAGGCTATTTTCCACACTTTTTTAACACAGCCCAGAATCAGTCTTATATTGGCCCTATGCCTTTGGTAGACTATTATGGTTATGACCAAATGATGTGTGATGATAAAAAGGAGTTTATGGTCTGGTATCAAGAGAACCAACATTGTCAGTTCAATTTTCAAAATGAACTTAAGAAATACTGTATAGATGATGTTAAAATCTTGAAACAGGCCTGTGTCTGCTACAGAGAAAGTGTGATGGAGATGACCAAGAAGGTAAAAACTATTGTGGGTCCTGACGGTCCTGAAACCGTCATTGCTGATATTGATCCTTTTCAACTCACTACATTAGCGTCTGTGTGCATGGCCATGTACAGATTTAAGTTTTTACCGAAAAATACCATAGCAATTTTACCCTCTGACAATTACCATGCAAATCAGAAACGTTTCTCAACAAAGTCTATACAGTGGTTAATGTATGTTGCACACAAAGAGGGGATCACTATTCAGCACGCTCTACAGGGCGGTGAAAGGGCTGTTGGTAACTATTTTTTGGATGGGTACGCTCTGATTGATGGCCAGCCTACAGCTTTTGAATTTCAGGGTTGTTTCTACCACGGTTGCCCAGTTTGTTATAATGAAAAGGCTTTTAACACAGTTACAAAGACTACCTATGCACAATTACACCACAAAACCAATGTTAAAAATCATTTTCTAAAAATGCGGGGTTATGTGGTCCGTGAGATGTGGGAGCATGATTGGTCCAACCTGTTAGAAACTGACAAGGATCTACAGGCTTTTCTTATCGATAAAGATTTTCCACAGCCGCTGGAACCTCGTGATGCGCTTTATGGGGGCCGCACAAACGCAATCAAATTGTACCACAAAGCGGCCCCAGGTGAGAGCATACACTATTATGATTTTACCAGTCTATACCCATACGTCAACAAAACAAAATTATATCCCACGGATCACCCAGTAATCATTTATGATAATTTTCAGTCTTTTGAACACTATTTTGGCCTTGCTAAAGTAACAGTGTACCCACCCCGAGGTCTATTTTTCCCTGTTCTACCGGTTAAAATGAATGGCAAACTTATGTTCCCATTATGTCGTACATGCACAGCCAATAACCAAACAGCACATTGTGAACATAATGAGGAGGAACGCTCTTTGACAGGTACTTGGTGCACTATTGAAATACAACAAGCCCTGATTAAGGGCTACAGGTTGGGGAAGATCTTTGAGATTTGGCACTTTCCTTACTCTTCCAATACGTTATTTGAAAAGTATATAAAGGTGCACCTTAGGGATAAGCAGGAATCCTCAGGTTACCCTGAATGGTGTACGACTGATGAAAAAAGACGCCAATACATTGATGCTTATTACGCTAAAGAGGGTATTTTGCTAAGACCAGAGAAAATAGAAGTAAACCCTGCAAAACGACAGATTGCAAAATTGTTTCTTAATTCTTTATGGGGCAAATTTGGTCAGAAACCTAATTTGCAAACCACAAGTCTTGTATCTGATCCTGACAAGCTTTTTGGTTATATATTTTTACCTGAATACGAGGTGTCTTCTCTGTCATTCATAAATGATGATACAGCCATGCTCAGTTGGAAGCACGCCCAGGGTTGTCACAGTCCGTCTCGCAATACCAATATATTTATTGCATGTTTTACCACCGCCTATGCACGACTTGAACTGTACAATGTTTTAGACCGTCTTAATGAGAGATGTCTCTACCACGACACTGACTCTGTTATTTTTGTTAGTACAGCGGGTGACTGGAATCCACCTCTAGGGGACTATCTAGGTGAGCTGACTAGTGAAATACCCTGTGACACACACATTACAGAGTTTGTATCTGCAGGTCCCAAGACGTATGGTTACAAACTATCGACGGATAAAACATCTCTAAAGGTGAAAGGCATAACACTTCATGCCAGTAATGCCCAGTTGATTAACTTTGACAGTTTAAAAGACCTGGTGTTGGACTACCCCTTGCACTCAGACCCTGATGAACAGAAAAGAATAGTGGTACGACAGTCCTCCATTGTCAGAAATAAACTCCTTTGGCAGATAGAGACGCGACCGCTACAGAAAACACAGAAGTGTGTATATACAAAAAGATATTTGGTCGACGACTTTACCACTCTCCCATTTGGTTACTAATCATTCACCATGGACACTCGTTTACAACATCCTTTTTCATGCATATTGGCAGGCCCTTCTAATTCCGGGAAAAGTTATTTTGTCAAACAGGTTTTACAGAATGCTACCGCTTTAATGTCGCACACTCCTGATAACATTGTTTGGTTTTATGCCTGCTGGCAAGTGCTTTATGATGAATTATTACTCACAATCCCAAATATTCGTTTTATAGAGGGTTTACCCACAACATTTAATGATGATAATTTGTTCCCCCCTAACAGAGTAAATTTAACTATTGTTGATGACTTAATGGAGGCTGCTAGTGAGAGTTCAGAAATTGAGAAAGCATTCACCAAGTATGTGCATCACAGAAATCTGAGTATTATGTATCTGGTGCAGAATGTGTTCTGTCAAGGTAAAAAAAGTCGTACTATAGCTTTAAACACTAAATATATGGTACTTTTTAAGAACCCAAGAGATAAACTGCAAATCACTACTCTGGCCCGCCAAATGTACCCCGGTAAATCACAATTTTTTCTAGACGCTTTTGAAGATGCCACACGCAAATCTTATGGTTATCTACTTGTAGATTTAAGATCTGTAACCCTCGAAGAGTACCGCTTAAGAACCGGTCTCTTCCCACCCGACCTTCCCTCTGCATATATTTATAACAAACAGCCCTCTAAAAGTCGATAACATACCATTAACAGGTCATTCCCTGCCGAATCTCAGATCCTTAAGGATGTCTATGCGTATACGTCGCAATTGGTTGGCTTTACAAAGTCTAATAAGTGCATCGCCATCACAAAAAAAAGATATTTTATGCTCCGCATCTCATGATTTAGTCACGGCTATATGTGAAATAGCTCTTAATACCCTTAAAGGTAAGATACCTTTATCACAACAAGTAGAAAAGCTAAAAAAGTGGCGAAAAAATATAAAAGCACTGAGCAACAAAAAAGTGTCTTTTAGTAAGAAGAAACAGTTGGTTAAACAGTCTGGAGGATTTATTGGCTCTCTGTTGGGATTTGCTATACCTCTGCTGACCGGTCTTTTGACTAACCGTTAATGGCACACGCTGAGAAAAAGTACTTAGTGTCTAAACAAGAGTTAGACCTAATACAGCGAACCACTCAGAGCTCTGAGACCGCTCGTGAGTCTGTCACTCAAAACCTAGATAATGAGATTATTTCTATTCTTCAAAATAGAGGTGTATCGGATGATGAGAAGATAAAGAGGTATACCACTATATTGCAGAAATACTTGGTACGTACTAAACAGAGTGAAAGCGAAAAGTTGGGCTTGACACTTTTCTTACCTCCTGGAGAATCCTCCGTACCAAACCCCCCTGTAGCACATCCTCATAATGCTGGAGTCTCTGATGTTTCAGACGCTGTATTTTGTGAAGTTGTTAATAATGTAAATGTCCGCTATAAAAAAAATGCTGAATTGTTGTTGAGTAGAATGTCTCAATTTAAGCACATTACCGCTTGGAATGATAAGGGTGAATTTGTTTATAAAAACACTGTTGTACCGGGATCAAATATACTCGATTTGGTACATAGTGTTACCCAGAGTCACAGTGTTACGGTACGTAAATTACCTCTGGGCTGGGATACTTTTCTTCAGGCTATGGCTGACCTGAACATACCGTCTACCGTTGTGGGCAACACATCAAATAGAGACTATTTGGAACAATTGAAATTGCGGATCCTTCCAAGCGAGACTCGGGACATAACACCCCATTTTCAAAAGAGACAATCGTTACCAAATATTTCTTTTAACACCCCGGGATTAACTACATCTCACGGCTATTTGCTACCTAACAAGCGCCCCCGTATACTAAAGCAGCCTGCTGATTGGTTGAATTTGTGATGTTTATTCATTGCATTTCTGTCTAAAACATGTGATGATTATTGCTTTTCCTTCATACATTGTATTACCCCTTTTGCCTGTGACTATTGTATTGTTGCTTTTCCTGTGAATAGTGTATCGGCTTTTTTTTTTTTGTCTAATAAATATCGTTATATGAGTTACTTTGGCATTTATTTATTTCTCAGATGTATATAAACTTGCCCTCTGGGTTTGTTCTCTACTTTCAAAACTGGCCCCAGACACATCTTCCAAAACATGCCCAGACTTGTCCTCTTTATTCAGTAATATGAAATGAAATTTAAAATAAATAAACATCCAACCATAGGATGTAGTACCTCATACAACCACATGGTGGCAGACTCTATGAACATTGTAAAGGGGCGTGTCTATTACATGCCGTATTGGGTGTGGTTTCATAAAAAAAGGGGCGGACACCCATCAACGCGCAATGGGTGGGGCCCTATTGCGCAAGGGGCGTGGTTTCATGAAAGGGCCGGGCAACCATCACCACACAGGGGGCGGAGACCTATTGCGCAACGGGCGTGGTTTCATAAAAAGGGGCGGGGCGTCTGACATATTGCGCAAGGGGCGTGGTTTCATAAAAAGGGGTGTGGTTTCCTAAAAGGGGCGTGGTTTCATAAAAAGGGGGCGGGCACCTGTCAAAAGTTAGTTTGATGACTTGTACCGCTTTACACTACTTATGCCATTCGGGAGTTTGGAGCATTCACTTGTATGCAGTTCGAGAGTTTGG